TTGTCGGAGTCACACTTGGCGTGATGGCCCTAACATGACCGTGGCTAGAAAGAATGCACGTACGGGTTTACTCGACGAGAAAATATATGTGATGGGAGGTTGCGATATTGACGAGTACTATGCCAACTGGATTGAGGTATTTGACGTAAAAAATCAGTCTTGGACAGCCTTGCCTGGTCCTGGCGCTGATGAAGACGAGTTACGTAATCACTTACGCAAATCTAGTGAATATGTTATAGTTAATGAGTTCCGAAGGGAAACTTTACGTAGCGACAGATGAGAAGGAATTCTCTTACGAGCCGAAAAATGGTAAATGGAAACTTGTAAGAGAGAAGTCGAGTTTAATATCAGATTCCATAGATGTTTTGTGTGAGATGGGGAATGTAATATACGGTTGCACTGACTTAGGGTACTTAATGTGGTCTGCCCCAGAGATGGAGGGTAGAAAGTGGAGAGAGATCAAGGGTTTGGAAAAACTCCGTAAGCATCCTACAAGAGGTTTAGAAATTGGGTGTGAGATTGGACTGGTGGGCTATGGTGGCCAACTTTTAGTTATGTGGGATACATATATATACAAACGATACAACAAAATTTGGTGTGCAAAGATTTCTTTAGAATCAAGGCGCAATGGACGTGAGGTGTGGGGAAAAGTTGAGTGTGTTGATCTGCTTACCTTTCCTGTCGAGTCATATGAACGGTTTGGTTGTGTTGCTGCGTCAATTTGATATCTCTTATAGATGGTATGAGTTGTTTCTTTTGCTTTGAACATGCTGTTTTGTTCTTCGAGACAATCTTGTAATTTGGTTGTTCCGCACAAGTCGAGTGACATTATCATAATAAACTTAAATAAATATGCACTAATTATTATTGGTGGTTTTGTTTGCATTTTTTGTCTTACACATTGGTGTATGGTAATTATTTTTCAGATGAAACTACCATTACAGTGAATCGTGATTACGCAGGTGTACGTGACCGTGTTAAAAATATTATAAGAAACTGAACATGTATTTTGAATGATTATATATACAGAGACATTTGCTACGTCATGTCAAATCTATTACACTGATGGGTTGGAAGAAGCTAAGGAGGAGGAATCAATCACTGATTGATGTAATTCTACTGGGATGCTTTTTTTTTGAACTTAGCTTTCGTATTAAATGCAAAAAAGAAAGAAAAAAATACAAGCCATAAGCCAAGGTTTGTTTTTAAGGAGCCCATAAGCCCAGTTTAGAGGACACACATTAAGAAAAAAGAAGAAGGAACCAGAAGCCCAATAACAGATTTGTGAGTGGAGAGGAAGAGTTTGTGTTCTACTTCGTTCGTAACGAAGAGAGTTTCGGATCGTCAATTCAGCCACTGCTGCATCAGTCTAGAGGAGCCCGAGGGGTTGGAATCACGAAGAGACAATATCCTATCTTTGATCTGTCGATCTAGCCGGCGAGTAATAGAATCAGGGGAGCAAAAAATTTGCCTGTGAATCCTAGCATTCCTCTCTGCCCAAATCCAATAGATACAAGCTTGCCAGCAAATCCTAGTGAGAATACCTTTTGTGGAGTTTCTACCTATGGCTTGGATTTGCGCCATAACTCTGTCCCAGCTACTCTCTGGAATTAATCCACATCTTAAAGCAAACGGTGCCCATATACTCCACGAGAAGGAGCACGAGAAGAAGATGTGATTCCTACTTTCATCAATTAAATTACAAAGCACGCAAGTTTGATCGGTGGAAAGTCCCCAACTAGTGATCCTGTCCTTTGTAGGACATCTATTCAGCACAAACAACCATGATAGAAAGCTGTGCCTGGGAATCCCGAACTTGTTCCAGACCAGATCATACCAAGGTACAGAGATTCCTTCATCACAAAGCTTCCCATAAACTTGGCCAATCCTGTATTTTTTATAACTATGCCCATCGATTTCCCAATCATAAAAATCAGCATTGGTGTTCAATTGAATTGTGGTCAAATGAGCGTAGAGATTGATCAGAGCTTCTGATCTTGCAGATGGAACGAGCCAGTTGCTGTTTATATGTAGAGATGCAAGAGTAGCATTCAGAGGAATTCCTAAGGTTGAGTTGCCGGTGACACCAAGGTAGGTCCTTAGAGAGCCAAAAGGGGACCAATTATCAGTCCAAAACCTGCAATCAAGACCATTCTGGACACGTAATTTAATCCATTTGTAAAGAGAGGAGCTCAGTTTTAGAAGTTTATTCACTTGCCAAGAGAACCGTTGATGAGTAGCTGTGGTCCAAAGGTTGCTTAGACATCCATCTAGTACTTCTTCTATGAACCATGCCACCCAAACCGAACCAGACTGAAAGAACAGTAACCAAATCAGCTTGAGACAACAGGCTTTGTTCCACACCGATAAGTTTTTAATCCCTAAACCGCCTTCCCGCTTAGGCTTAGTAACCACCTCCCATGACACTCTTGCTGAATGATGGTCTTCTATGTTTCCCTTCCAAAGAAACACACCACAAAGAGAATTGATCCGCTTAACGCAGGCTTGGGGTAAAATGAAAGTTGAGCACCAGAAAGTTGTAATACCGGTGATAACAGTTTTTATCAAGAGAAGTCTTCCAGCAAACGACAAAGCTTTGGCACTCCATGAAGAAAGTCTGCTCTTAATCTGATGTAGTAACACTTCACAATTTAGGAGGGATAATTTTTTCGTACACAAGGGAACACCAAGGTAACGGACAGGGAGATTTCCCATAGGCATTCCGGTTGAGAATTGTATCAGGTCAGTCTCCTCTACTGAAAGTCCAGACGCAAAAAACGAAGACTTTTGCATACTGACAGCAAGACCAGATCTCAGCTCAAAGTCTCGGAGAACTTGTAGGACTGCTTGCACCGAACTTAAGGACCCATCTATGAAGATGAGTAGATCATCCGCGAAACAGAGGTGCGTGAGTTTAGCAGCCTGACAGTTGGGGTGGTAGTTAATCTTTAGATCTCGAGCAGCCTGGTTCAACATAAGCGATAGCACATTCATGGCAATTACAAAGAGATAAGGAGAGAGTGGGTCGCCTTGCCTTAACCCTCGAGTGCCTTTGAAGTATCCATTGACAAACCCATTGTAGCCCACAGTGAAGTTAGTTGTGCAAATACACGCCCGCAGCCAGGAGAGAAAGAGACGAGGAAGATTCAGAGCTTCTAGGCAGGAGAAAAGAAAGGTCCACGATAAGGTATCAAAGGCCTTTGCGATATCAACTTTTATGGTAATTTTTTTAGAGCTTTGATTCTTGTGATAGCCTTGAACTAGCTCACCGGCAAGAGAAGTATTCTCCACTAACAGCCTTCCTCTTACAAATGCAGTCTGGTTGGGAACTATAAGAGTTTGCAGGATGGGCTTTAACCTCTTCACTAGGAGTTTGGAGACAACCTTGTAGATGGTGTTTAAGCATGAAATTGGTCAATAGTCTGTGATGACAGAAGCACCTGGATGCTTTGGAACCAGAGACAAAATCGTAGCATTTGTAGATGCTGGCAAGAAAGAGGAGAAGAAGAAGTGACCAATGGACTGCAGAACTTCATTTCCCAATATACCCCAAGAAGCTTTATAGAATCCCGAGGTAAGTCCGTCTGGACCAGGCGCCTTGTTTGGATTCAACTTGAACAAAACTGACGTGATTTCATCTGGTGCTGGGATAGAGAGCATAGTGTTGCATTGTGATTCAGAACAAGTGAAATCAGTCAGCGAGTGAAACCATGAAGAGGTTGAGACAATTACAGGAAGTGGCGCAGGGAGAGGCCCTAAAATTCTCTGAAAGTGTGATACCGCTAGGTTACCCATCTGAACAGGATCTGAAATGATGATACCCGAAGGAAGCATAAAAGATCTGATGAAATTGAAGTTCATCCTAGTTTGCACCATCCTGAAAAAGTAAGTAGTGTTCTGGTCCCCTTCCTTAAGCCAGTTTACCCTTGAACGTTGTTTGAAGTAGCTCTCTTCTATCTCTCTCAGAAAATTCCAAGTCTGTAGGGCCTTCTTCTCCATTTCAAAAGATTGAGCCGAGGGGGAATGTAGTACTTGTACCTGCACATCTAAAAGTAAACGGTTAGCCTCAATAACTCTCTTTTGGATTTGAGAAAAATTCTCTCTATTAAGGTGTTTTAACTCTCTCTTGATTTGTTTTTGCTTCCAGTATAGTGCAGTTAGGTTCCAAGCAGTGCTTCCGGCCTGTGTCCAAGCATCAAAAACCACCTGATGAAAGCTAGGGTGTTTAGATAGATAATTGTAGAATTTAAAAGGCCTGTTTCCGGAGGAAGGGATTTTTGTGGCTAGGTCGAGGGTACAAGGGGTATGGTCTGAGATAAGGTTAGGGTGGAAAAAGGCTGAACAGTTGGGAAAGAGGTTTAGGACCAGGTTGTTAATTAGTAGACGATCAAGCTTTTTTGCAATAAAATCCTCAGGCCTTCGATTAGTCCATGTGAACTGGGGACCCTGGTAGCGTAGATCAAACAAGCCCAGCTGAGTAAAGCAGTCCTTTAACTCAACCATATCAGAGGAGATAGAGCTCACATCAGGCAGAGAATGCTCCATGGGATGGATGATTTGATTGAAATCACCCCCTAAGATCCATGGTACTGCATCCAGCGACATAGATTGATGGATATTTAGGAGGTCAACCCAAAGTTCAGTACGTTCTTCCCTCTCATTTGAAGCATATATAGCTGTATAAACAAATTGACACGCTCCAGGGATTTTTATTTCGCAAGTGACTTCTTGTCTTGATTGATGCAGGATGCGGACTGCAATAGTATCTTTCCAAATAAGGATGATCCTTCCATCATCATCAGAGAGATGGTTAGATGCAAAGTTCCAACCTCTACAAAGCTTGCTCATAAGATGATTTAAGTTGTTTTCCTTAATGTGTGTCTCTAAGATAGTACCAAAAAGGGGCTGATGGGCAGACAACCAATTACAAAAAGGCTTATGTTTATCCGGGTCATTTAGACCACGGACATTCCAAAAAAATAGTTTATTATACATAGGGATTAGTCTATGGTCTCTTCATGGTGAAGAGAACCATCAGGAACCAAAGCAGAGAACGAGTTAGAGAAGGGGTTAACAAAAGAGGAGGAAGAGATGGATAAAGGGTGAGGTTTAAAAGAGGAGGAGGCAAAAGAGAGCTGAGCAGTAAAGGATGGAAAAGAAACAACTTTTGGGTCAGGGCGAGGTCTTTTTAGAGAAGGGGCAAAAAAAGAATCAGGGGGACTTAGGGGGTCAGAGGCCAGCGGAGGGGTTTGAATAGCATTAGGAACCAAAGCCAAAAAGTTTGCAGGAGGGCTAACAAGGTCAGGGAGGGGAGGAGTGATATTAGGTAGAGTGGTGGAGGACATGAGGGTAGGTTTAACAGGGACAGAACATGAATGTATAGGAGAGGAAAGAGGTAAAGGGATGTGAGAGGGAGGTGAGGGGGCAGCAGGGTTAAGAGAAGCTGGGGGAGGAATAGCTAGAGAGGAGTTTAAAGTTTCTGAAGGACCAGGGTTCGTTGATGAGAAAACTTCAAGACCCTTTGGAGTTGGTGCAGCATTCTGAATATCAACAGATTTTCCTTTTTGGGTACCAGTTTCTGATTTTTTTGATTTATTTGCAGGGTTCTCAGAAGACTTTGCTGGAGGTGGGAGCAACAAACAGTTACGAGACACATGACCAAGTTCTTTGCAATGAGAACAAGTCGGAGGAATCCATGGGTAAGAAACTTGAACTTCCACAACCTCACCACTTTGTCTCATGAACTCAACTACATTAGGCAACGGCTTCGTAAGTTCCACCTCTACCTTCACATGAGATAGGGTCAAGCTCACCAAGTTCTTTGTGAAATCATCCGTTTCCTTTGGTTCGCCAACCAAACCTGCAACAAGACTCAACCCTTCTTGATGACGGAGATCTAGAGGAACTCCTAAAAGATGCGCCCAAATTTGGATAGTGTGTGGAGGAGGCGAAGCAGCTGATACTGATGACGACCATTGTACCGCATGAAACATGGATTCACCAACATACCATGCTCCTTTTTCAATGATTTTCTGCCTTAAGTAATCCGAAGGTATACGAACAAGCATTGACCGAGACAATGGATTGGTATGAATCTCAACCCTCTTTCCTTTTCCCCACATATGGTTTAAAACACTTTGTATTTGGTTGAAAGGGGGGGGGGGGTCTACCATTAAAGTAACATATTATGAAATCTTTGTGTATTTCAGCACCTTTTTGGAATACACTATCCGGAATGAGGACACGAGGAATTCCTTTTTCTGTAAGAGTTACAGGAGCAAGTCGTTTCAGAGTTTTATCCTCTTGTCTTCTGATTTTTTCAACCAAAGGGGTGTGAGGAGGAGCAGCAGCAGCAAGAGGCACAGAGCCAACATCAGGAGGCGAGTTTCGACCCTCAATGTTAACAGGGTTAGGGTTTGGGTTTTGAACAGAGATGGGATTTTTGATTATAGGGGTTTGGGCAGTGGGGTTTTTAACAGTAGGGTTCGGCAAAATTGCAGAAGGAAGGTTTTGCTCAGAACCAAGAGTAGGGTTTATCCTAGTTGGAGGAATAGGGGAGAAGTTTGGAGAAGGAATGGTGTTTTTGATTAGAGGGTTTATAGGACTAGAACTAAGAGCCCTATTAGTTTGGATTGGAGAGGAATTTTTGGGAGGAAGGATCTTAAAGTTTTCAAAGGTATTTGAAACAGTGTTTCCAGATCTGGAAATTTTGGAGCCGGAGAACACAGTGGAATCAGAGACTGATCCAGCAGAAGCAACACCAGTAGCAGTTAAAGGAATGGAAGACTTCAAAGCAGGCCGAGAAGGTTTGGCAGTTTGCGAAGGAGTCCGGAGGGATTTAGGAGAAAGAGAGTTGAGAGGGGGAAAACGAGCAAGGGATAAAGGGTTAGTTGGATCAGGGGGGTCAGGTGGAACAGGGGGGTCAGGAAGGAGGCTGGCACCAGAGGTTAATTGCTGAGGAGACAGGACGGAAGCATTGTGTGGAGGGAACCAGGGGTTCGCCATAACCAGTATCTGTCCACATACAGGTGTAGCGCTGACCGCTCTGTTTAAGCTGAGGAATCAATCACTGATTGCGCCTACGGACCGAACCGTGGTTGTGAGGACTGCTTGCATAATCTCTAATCCTCCTGTTGAAGTGAAAGCAGATTTTGGAGCTGTCATGGATGTTCTCAAGAGTTACTTAGGAAGTCAGACGCTTAGGTCATAAGAAGCGACATAGACCGTTTTGTTTTCTTTCTTTCTTATAGTGTTCCTCAGTTCTGTAGTACAAGAACTAAAGTTGAACCCTTTTCTCCTACTATTTACATTGAATCCTTTTATTAACTAGTGGGCGTTTTAGAGAATGCAGAAAATGAGAGTAATAAGATTTTTTTTCATATCTTACCTTGTATATTAGACATCTCTATAATATTACAGTATTTGAAAAGTGAGTTTCTTAAGTATCATGTTCATGTTAATTTTCACATGGTTGATTACAGAAGTACACTTAATGATTTTAAAATAATTTATTTAATTAAAATTATTAAATTTATGTCCTTTTAAATAATATTTTACTTTAATTCCTTTATTTATTTTTCTAATAATTTATATAATAAAAAGGAAAAATACACTTTAAAAATAAATAAAAAGAAAGTATTTCACTTTAGTTTCCTTATTTATATTTCCAGTAAGTTATATAATAAAAGGAAAAAAAGTATAATTTAAAAAATTAAAGAAAGTTTTAATAATATTTATATATAATTTGATTTCATAAAAAGAAAGTCAACAAAAATAATCTTGAGATTAAGAAAAATAATAAAAATAAATACCTATTATTTGAAAGTAATATTTTATTAATTTTATACATATAAATTATATATTTCAAAAAACTAAATTGATTAGATTACCACATTTTTAATTCAAAATATAATATTATTTATATAAATTATAAGAAAATAAAATTAAAAGTAATAAATTAATCAGTTATTATTATTATATATTATCTATATATATATATAATTTCTGTGCATGAATGGGCTTGAAAGAATAGCCGGGTGTTAAGTATTCTAAAATTTCAATGATATTAATTTATATAGGTTGTATTATATTTATATCTACTGAGATTTTATAAGTTACCTTTTAAAACTTAAATAGTTATCCATATATATATATTTGTAGTGATAAATCTTCGTTTTCAAATAAATAAATATATTTTTAAAAATGTATAGATAATAGATTAGCCCACACTATCAATCCAATAAGAATACCCAAAAAGTCTTTATATACCTAAACGTGTTTCTTAACCCTATACATTTATCATATTCCCCTCTCCACAACCTCTATACCGTATCTTCGGCCGCTCATGACTTCGGCAGAAGTTGAACCAACCAAAAAGAAGAAGAAGACGGTTCCTGAGCCACCGTTGTCGTTTTCATCACTTCCAGACGAGCTTACAGAGAACATTCTTGCCCGTGTCTCGAGATGGAAGTACGCATCGCTCTCTCTCGTCTCAAAGAGATTCCACTCTCTCTTATCATCTAAAGAGATCTACAGGACACGATCTCAAATAGGAGCCCATGAAACATGCGTCTATGTCTGGTTAAAGTTGCCCGATCACCCGTGTGCAAGCTGGTTTAGCCTTCGGACGAAACCTAATTATCAAAACCGAACCAAACAGAGAGGGAAGATTAGGTTCAAGCGGGGCTCGAGTGGACTTTCGGTTGAGCCTATACCTTCCTCTTCTACCGATTCTTTTCCCAAACAAGATAACATCACAACGTTTGGTCCGGACATCTACTTAATCGGTGGATCTTACAAAAAACCATCTTCCTCTGTTCATATATTTGATTGTCGGAGTCACACTTGGCGTGATGCCCCTAACATGACCGTGGCTAGAAAGAATGCACGTACAGTTTTACTCGATGAGAAAATATATGTGATGGGAGGTTGCGATATTGACGAGTACTATGCCAACTGGATTGAGGTATTTGACATCAAAAGTCAGTCTTGGTCAGCCTTGCCTGGTCCTGGCGCTGATGATGAAGAGTTACGTAATCACTTACGCAAATCTAGTGAATATGTTATAATTAATGAGTTCGAAGGGAAACTTTACGTAGCGACAGATGAGAAGGAATTCTCTTACGAGCCGAAAAATGGTAAATGGAAACTTGTAAGAGAGACGTCGAGTTTAATATCAGATTCCATAGATGTTTTGTTTGAGATGGGGAATGTAATATACGGTTGCACTGACTTAGGGTACTTAATGTGGTCTGCCCCAGAGATGGAGGGTAGAAAGTGGAGAGAGATCAAGGGTTTGGAAAAACTCCGTAAGCATCCTACAAGAGGTTTAGAAATTGGGTCTGAGTTTGGACTGGTGGGCTATGGTGGCCAACTTTTAGTTATGTGGGATTCATATAGATACAAACGATACTACAAAATTTGGTGTGCAAAGATTTCTTTAGAATCAAGACGCAATGGACGTGAGGTGTGGGGAAAAGTTGAGTGTGTTGATCTGCTTACCTTTCCTGTCAAGTCATATGAAGGGTTTGGTTGTGTTGCTGTGTCGGTTTGATGTCTCTTAGAGATAGTATATATGAGTCTTTTGCTTTGAACATGCTGTTTTGCTTTGAGACCGTCTTATCCTTTGCTTTCACTTACAAGTGAAATCATGAGTAACTTATATAAATGCATTAATATAGTTGTGTTTGCATTTTGCTTACACACATTAGTGTATGGTAATTTATTTTTCAGATGAAACTACTATTATAGTGAATTGAGATACGCAGGTGTACGTGACTGTGTTAAGAATATTATATAAAAGAAGCTGAACATGTATTTCGATTGATTATACATAGACATTTGTTACGTCATATCAAATCTGTTAGGTTCAGAATCAAGAGAGACACAAGACATTCGTTATGTCGTCATATCAAATCTATTAGGTTCAGAATCAAGAGAGACACAAGACATTTGAAGTTATATAGCGATCTTGCCAGCAGTTTTTTTTCTTTAATACTCCTTCCATTTGGAAAAGATCCACATTTTAGAAAATAATATTGTTTAAAAAAGAACTGGAGTGTAAGCCGTTAAGAAGTGTGTTGGGAGTGTAAGCCGTTAAAAAGTAAGTCGTCCAGCTCATCCAGAAGACTTACGAGTAAGTCTTCTACGCGAACAGATCTAGAAAAAAATTCAATTTCATACCTTAAATTAGGTGAGATGACTTTCTTAGCACACAAAGTCTTCTCCAACCACCCAGAATATCAAATGAAAGTAACCCACCAAGAATCGTATGCTTAAATGGCTCTATCAACCATAAAAAAAAATTGAATCAAAAGCTTGGGTTTTTTGTATGAATATGGAGACAAAGTGAAATAGATGTTGTTTTTAGTTCATAACAATTGAGAAAGAGAGAGTGTAAATCAATTTTAGGTGCATTAAGAGCTTCAAATTGGTTGTTCATGGTAGTTAGGGTATTGATGGCAATGTCAATCTTGTAAATACTTGAAGATGATGAGGTTGAGAGAGNTAAATCAATTTTAGGTGCATTAAGAGCTTCAAATTGGTTGTTCATGGTAGTTAGGGTATTGATGGCAATGTCAATCTTGTAAATACTTGAAGATGATGAGGTTGAGAGAGTAAAAAACAATTTTCAAAAAAAAGAAAAAAAAAGTGTAATGGCATTTTCGTAAATAATGTGAACAGATAGGGTGAATAAGACAAATCAACAACTGACACACTTCAGTCAAATGCAAAATTAGCCCGTTTTCCTAGACGACTTACTTATAAGTCGTCCAGATTTTTTTTGTTTAACATAAAAAGCTGGAAGACTTAGAAATAAGTCGTCCAGCTGGACGACTTAAAAGTAAGTCGTCCAGCTCATCCAGAAGACTTACGAGTAAGTCTTCTACGCGAACAGATCTGGAAAAAAATTCAATTTCATACCTTAAATTAGGTGAGATGACTTTCTTAGCACACAAAGTCTTCTCCAACCACCCAAAATATCAAATGAAAGTAACCCACCAAGAATTGTATGCTTAAATGGCTCTATCAACCATAAAAAAAAAATTGAATCAAAAGCTTGGGTTTTTTGTATGAATATGGAGACAAAGTGAAATAGATGTTATTTTTAGTTCATAACAATTGAGAAAGAGAGAGTGTAAATCAATTTTAGGTGCATTAAGAGCTTCAAATTGGTTGTTCATGGTAGTTAGGGTATTGATGGCAATGTCAATCTTGTAAATACTTGAAGATGATGAGGTTGAGAGAGTAAAAAACAATTTTCAAAAAAAAGAAAAAAAAAAGTGTAATGGCATTTTCGTAAATAATGTGAATAGATAGGGTGAATAAGACAAATCAAAAATCAAAAAACAAGAAATGTTAGTTTTGTGTTTGACTTTGAGTTTTGAGTCAAATTTGCAAAAATCCCTTATTTGATAGTAATATTTTATTAATTTTGTACATATAAATTATAAATTATACATAATAATAAAAATAAATATTTTATTATTATATATATAAATAATTTATGTCCATGAATAATGGGCACATAAGAATAACCTGGTTTTAAGTATTCTAAAATTTCAATGATATTATTTATATAGGTTGCATTATATTTATATCTACTGGGGTTTTATAAGTTACCTTTTAAACTAGGTGTTTTGCCCGCACATGCGGGCTTAATTATCTTTTAATCAATTTAAAAATCATCAAAATAAATAATTATTTGCATCCAAATTTGACCGAAAACATTAAACTTTTCTACATGATAAAGTTATTCACAAATTAAAAAAAACTATTTTTTTCCTTTAAAACTTTGAAAAATCTAAAGTCTATTTCATTTCTTCTTAATTGATAAAAAATATAAAAATCTATCTTTCCATTTGAAAAATTGAATCGATAAGTATACATTCAACAATTAATCGTACAAAAAGAATCATATTAGTTTAGATAATAATACAATATATTTGAATTTATTTTTATCAAACACATATTTTCTTTCTTTTTTAATGATCTTTTGTTTTATATGATTAATTCATGTTTAAGGTTTAACTATATAAAATATAAATATAAATTTAATTTAACGTGTGAGTTCAGAAAAATAACTTCACAAATATATACATTTATCATTATATTATTATATTCTTTTAATAAATAATTTCGTATTATATTTTTTCAATTTTCTCTTTTGAATTATATACAATTAAATTTTTTTTTTATGCATACTTATTTATGTGTTTTTTTGAATTTTTTTAATTAAATATATTTTCCGGATAACAACACAATATATATAAGAATTATCTTTTTCTTTTAAATATAAAATTCAAATTAAATATATTTTCCGGATAACAACACAATATATATAAGAATTATCTTTTTCTTTTTAATATATATTTAGATTATGGATAATTCTTATCATTATTATTAATTTAAATCATTTATCTAATCAAATAAGTATTAAATTTGTTTTTATTTTTGGCTAATTTATATATTATATATTTTATTCATCAAGGGTAACAAAGACTTTAACCAGTCTAACTTTTAACGTGAGAGCTCCGTTGCGAAAAAATCACTTCGCAAATAATAGTATAGACTAGGTGTTTTGCCCGCCATGCGGGCTTAAGTGTTTTATAATTATATATACTAATTAAATACATTACTTATTAAAATTATAAGCATATATTATTATTTGTGTTTTCATTTTGAAAATTTTTAACCTTAAAATTATTCAAATATTATTTTTTCAATTATAAAGAATTATGAATTTTAATTAATTAATATTTAATTATTTATTTTCTGTTTTTGAATTTTTAAAAATTTTATTAAAGATAGCTTTCAGATAACAATACAATATATATATGAATTATCTGTTTAAAATAAAATATATTTTTGGATCTGGATAACTCTTATTGTTATTGTTTAAAATAACTTATCTAATAAAAAAATTTAAATTCGTTTTTATATATAATTAATTTATATAATTTATTCAGTAATGGTATAAACGATATTAACCGCGCTAACTTTTAACGTGAGAGCCTCGTTACAAAAAATCACTTTGTTTAAGCTTTTTATAATTATTTTTTAGTAAATATATTACTAATTAAAAATCATTTTCAAAATTTTTACTTTTATTAAAAATTATTCAAATATATTTTTTCAATTATATAAAATTAAGAATTTTAATTAATTAATATTTAATTATTGTTTTCTGTTTTTTTTTTGTTTTTTGTTTTTTGAATTTTTAAATATTTTATGAAAAGATAGTTTCAGATAACAATACAATATATATAGGAATTATCTTTTTAAAATAAAATATATTTTTGATTTTGGATAACTCTTATTGTTATTGATTAAAATAAATTATCTAATAAAATAAATTAAATTCGTTTTTATATATAATTAATTAATATA